TGAAATTTGATTTTTTTTTTTTTTGCAAATTGCGCCAAGCAGGCTTTCATGTGTCTTGCACTGAGGAGAGGCTTCTGTTTGGCCACTCTGCCATCATGCCATGCTGCAGTGATTTTCGACCTTCTGTAGGTTTCTCCCATCTCCATCTGGCCAATATTATTTAAAAAATAATAATAATTTAAAGCATTAAGGCTATAACATAACAAAATGTGAAAAAATGAAGGGGTCTGAATACCTTCTGAATGCACTATATCTGACAGTTTTGACCTTGTGGGGAGTGAGAGTGTGAATGTATGTAAATGAGTCCCATCCAGGGTGTATTCCCTCCTCCGGATCAACATGACCCTGAACAGGAAATGAATGAATGAGTAATAAATAAATAATCAAACACATTTCCATTTTCCTTGTGTCAAATGACGCTTGTAGGTGAAAGTGACAGTTGTGGGATTGGCTATGAGAGTTTTCTGTCACCACCGTTTTTATGTATTATGCATGCGTGAGCGTGAGTACGAGAGGTACTGAGATATCTGTCACTGCTGATTACAGCTATGTTGACAGAACAGCCATCAGCGCTAAAAAAAAAAAAAAAATCAAAGTTGTTAACTTGAGAGTGAGAGAGAAAAACACATAGTGAGGGACTTCTGAAATGCCTTAAATGCACTAGCTTCACGTGTTTATACTATAAGCCTCAAATATTCCTAAAACCTTTAAATACTCTGTAGCCTCATATGTCCACACACTCAACTTCAAATCCACAGAAGAAGAATATCATATGCAAATATTTCCTCTCAACCTAAACCGATGCTTTTGCAATATGCCACATTTTCTGAAAAGACAATAAATCATCGATCAGCTGGAAGAATCCAAATTCACTCTGAGGATGTGGTCGTATTAAAACTCGCATATGCAGAATCAAATGAGATCCTCTTATGAATAAGGACAAATGCTGACACACCAGTGTTATAATAACACAGTTTACTGTTCCTTACCAAACTTCAAAAAATACTCAGTTGACTTCAAAGCCATTCACAGATTCTCAGCATGCGTTTTAAATGAAATGAAAGGACCTCTTGTATTAGATTAAAGAAGATTCTTCGCCATAAGCCAAACAGCCAATTAAACTAATCAAAATTCAATAAACAACACACGAAATGTCGTGCAAATGTTCCAAAATACAGAGGTGTTATTGTTATGTCATTTCTGTGGCTGCAGATGGTGCTTATAGTATTTTATACTACAATGTGTTTAATTTAAAAAATCGGAATGTGTAGATACATTTGCTGTAACAGCACAGCTTTCACACTAGTTCCAGATATAATATAAACGATAGGTTTATATTAATGTGCTCTACCATTCCTATAGAAACAGCTCATACACAGGGACACTCCAGATAATCCAAGGCTATATTAAACTATTTAAATAACTTAAAAATACTGTGTTGTTGTGTAACAAAGAAAAACATATCATTGATGTGGAGACGTTTTCTGTTAGAAGACGTTTATGTAAAATTTATGTTAGTAGTCTGGGGTGTCAGTGTGTCTTTGTAACCGTCAGTAAGTTTCCCAACAATGGAATGTCTTTAGTGCAGAGAGGTCTGAGCTTTCTGGTTTCTTAGTCATATGACAAACTGCATGTGATTTTCTTGTGTCTCATTAACTTTAAAAGAGAAAATACAGGAGAGGCTGCTGAAGGAACA